AGCTGCAAAAATAATATCCACATAGTTTAAAAAAATAAAATTAAAAAAAAAATAATCAAAAAACCCCACCCCACCTCTGATGTCCCAGGTCCTGTTATCCTCACGGTCTAAGGTTTTAGGGGTTAAAAAGAACTTAAAATTTAAAGGTATTTCCTAAATCAGCTTTGCCGAAGGTTTCTAAGTAACGTGCTATCCTTTTGGAGTCCCTGAGTTTGATGGTATAGAGCTATTAGAGGGCTCGTGGTGGACTGAATTACCTTAGGACTGCTACCTTTCTTAGCTACGGTTTGTATTTTGCTATGTAGGGTTGTAATGTGAGAATTCCAGAAGAGCAGTAGCATAAAAGTGCTTTTCTATTTTTTAAAAAAACCCATTCTAGTCTTACTAAGAATTAGAGATTTTTTTAATATCAGTTTTGTAATTTTTGATAAAGTTGTCAATATGATGATTAAATCACCAGAAAAAAAAGTTACTGTGATGTTCTCTTCGGGGCAGGGACTATGTCTTCTATGTATTTGTGAGATGCCACGAGGGGACGCCCGGTCTTAAATGGGGCCGCGGGCTCCGCTATCAAATTAAATAGCAACCATCAGCGTTGAGGTTGATTTGAGCGCATAAAAGCCAAGAGAATTCACAGTTCAAACTGCAGATCCCGTTACCTGTCCTTAGTTTGCCTGCTGTGTCCTCTGAAGGTCGCGTCATCACGGGGCGCGATGTCCGACGGGTAAGTCGAGGAAGCCGATGGCTCTCGAAGCTTTTGCTCACCCGACCCAGGACCTTCTCGCCCGAGTCAAAACGGATCTGCTCCGTTAACACAGCCCTCGCTCCCCTCCCTCTCTCCGCTGCTTTATCTGCCGCTACTCACTGACCCAACTCGACGTTCACGTTTCAGGATTCCCCCCCAAAAAACACCATTCACCCAGAGGTTTAAGCCCATTGCCGATGTACAAAACCCCAAACACATACACAGATCGTTCAGTTCCAAATTCACTGCAAGTGCAGTTCAAACAGGTGTCGAATCAACTCCAGAGAAACCCTTCAAGGCTTCCAAAAAAGAAAAAACACCTTCTGTTGAATTTTTCTACCTCCAGAACAGCATCCCGGGGGCTTCCTGGGACCCCCCCGAGCCCTGGGAGCCCCACAGCCCACCGTTGGTGGCCTCTCCGGACCTGGGTCTCAGCCAGGACGAGAGGCTGAGTGTCAAAGAGGGAGCCTGCGCTCGCCCGGTTCCTCCAATATTGCTGAAAAGCAGAGGTTACGTGGGGGACCGGGATTGTGTTGCTGTAATCAATGCTGCCCGGGCGTGCGCGCCCCAAAAAGCGCCGCAGCCTCCTGCGCCGCCGCCACCGCCGCCGTGCGGGCTGGTACGCACCCGGCACGCTCACACTTCTGGGGAGATTTCATCTGGTTTTTTACCTGCTGCGAAATGTATTGGTCCGTAATTGAGTGCCATCCCAACAGAAGGTAATGGGTTAGGATTTAGAACAGGAAAAAAAAAATATATATACAGAAAGAGAGAATAGTTCTATCTGGAAATTCCTATTTTGGAAAAAATAGGGGAAACGGGAAGGGTTTTGACGTCCTTGCCCTGGACGGAGCGGAGAGGAGAAGGCAGAGTGAGAGCATCCCCGCGTATTCCTGTGCACGAACCCCGGGGAGCACGAGCGCAGGTTGCCACGAGCCAAAGAAAAGGACCGTCCGGACCACCGGTACCGGCGGCTTTTTACCATTCCGGGCAGAAATCGATGGCAGTGAGGGAGCAAGTTGGGGCTGAGCCGCAGTGTGAGTCCGGCTTTGCGCGGCGCTGTCCCGGGGAGATGGGAGAACAACAGCCGCGTCCGCATCCAGGTCTGGTGGTGCACAGCATCTGCAGGTAAGTCCTCCTGCGGGCGCTGATGATTTCAATTAGGTAATGACATTAATGCCTATTAACTGTTATTTAAAACCAGCGGTGGTGAGAGGCTCTTCAGATAAGGAAAAATAAGCATTCC